TTCAGAAGCTCAGCTGTAATTCCATCCTCGCCTGGGGCCTTGCCGTTTTTAAGGTGCTGGAGAGCCATTCTAATCTCGCTCAGACTGACGTCCGGGATATCATCGGAATAATGTCGGATAAGACTCGCTCTTGGATCGTTACTCACACTTGCGTGCGGCTCCAACGATGATGTGTGCAGCTGCCTATAGAACCTCTCAATCTCACTCAAAATCTCAGGTGCCCCGGAAACGATGCTGCCACATCCTGTTTTCAGCTTTGGCAGGTGGCTCTTTCTGGCAGACAGATCTCTGGCAAAGACTTTGGAGCCTTGGTTCCGCTCGATCGCTTCTTCAATACGAGCTGTATTGAAGTTGCGTGAGTCCCGCCGCATACATTTGGAGATCTGTCTGTTCAGTTGCCTGTATGCTGTCAAATCTGTTGAAGAATGTAGCTTCATCTCCCATCTAACAGCCATGAGAGTAAGAGTGTGATCGGAGAGTTTTTGTGTTCTTCTGCGGCGGGTCTTGCAGAACTTAGCTCCGACCGCATGGACAGTTTCCACGAGCTTATCATTCAAATCGTCCACTTTATTGCAGTCTTCTAGGCACTGAAAACGGTTTTGCAACTCGAGCTGAAAGGTTTCGGGACTTTGGATTAGAGCACGAGGGGGACGGAGCGTTGACTTCATTAGACGAGACCTCTCCAACTTAACGTTTAGGTTCAGTGTGCCTCTAACCATTCGGTGATCGCTGCCGGTTTTCACCCTCGCGATCACTGAGACATCACTGAACAGTTGTCGTCTGGTCGTCATAATGAAGTCAATCTCATTTTTTGTCGAACCGTCGGGGCTCGACCAGGTCCACTTCCTGTGGGGCCGCTTCTGGAAGAAAGAGTTCATCATAAAGAGTCCCTCTTTCTCCATGAAGTCGGCCAGCTGCTGGCCCCTTGGGTTCCGTTGCCCTATTACAAATTTCCCCACTTTCAGCTCACCGTTCTCTCTTGTGCCTAGTTTTGCATTGAAGTCTCCCATTAACACCGTATATTGGGTTTTGGAGGAATGCATGGCTCTAGAGATATCCCCATACATTTCCTCCACCTCCTGATCGGGGTGCGCCGAGGTTGGTGCGTAAACCTGTATGACCTTCAGCGAATACCGTTTGGTGATTCTGAGTATAAGGTACGCAACCCTCGTCGACACACTCTCAACCTTTACAACGTTGTTAACGAGAGACTTGTGGACGATAAATCCGACACCTCCTTGGGCAGATGGTCGCCCTACCGGTAATAGAGCAAGTTGCCGGATTCGAGGATTACCGTGTCCTCCCCCTCTCTTCGGACTTCGGATAATCCTATAATATGCCAGCGTAACTTGTCTATCTCTTCTTCCAGCTCCACAATCTTCTCGTCAGTCCTCAGGGTGCGTGCGTTGTATGTTGCCAGGTCGAGTCGTCGTAAGTGGCAACCGAACCTCCACCGGAGGTTCTTAGCACCCCCTGCCCCGCCGTTACCATGGTCGCCACCGTAGCCAGGAATAGCGGGGCCGCCGGGGACTAGGGGCCGTCTCTTCGTAACTTTCATTATGGGGGGTATATTGCCATAGTTGCCACGCTTGGCAAACGGGTTGGCAACCGCAGTTTTTTATTGTATTTTGCCGTTACCAGGAAGATGCTGCTGCCCATCTCCTGCCTGTTTCCCTTTGTCGCCTTTTACGACACCCACGGGAAGATATGGGGTAGTGGGTATTCTTAACCGCCACTACACGGTCATAAATAATGATGTTAAATGATGATTATCAATATTCTTTTGTTGTCGTATCTATTGCAAATCATCTTCCACGCTTCAGCATAATTGTTGGTTGACACCTCCAAATTTGAAATAATCCTGGCCGCGTTGCCTTGCAAATAAGATACGAGGTAATGGAATTTATGGATGTCTGATATGCGATCATTCTTATGTATCAGATTTTCAAAAGTATCCCGAAACTCCAACTAACGGAAATATGCGCCATCAAATTTGTCTATATGAATTTGAGGGAGTTTCAACCGTAATTCGTGGGGGGTGATTAGGATCATCTATGCTACATGTGACCCGAATTGCGCCTTTTTTCCCATTCTAATTTTTTGGAGAATTTTTCGACTAAAGTTTTTGCCTTTGTTATATTCATTTTGCTCAATTTTATCGCGTTCCTCAATTTCAGCCGAAATATTTTCATAATTTAAAACCTCTATTTCACTCTGCAAATCATCAACCTTCATAGACAAAGCTTCAAATTTAGTGAGTTTTAAATCTAACTCCGTTAATTGAACGTTGTTTAGTTCCATTAAACAGGCAATGCTATTTAAATAATTTTTAAATTTTGTAATTTGTCCCTTGGCGGACGTTCTTCTAGTGATTAAATCATGTAAACTTTGTTTATTCATTTCTTCTGTCATTAAATATGACACTTACGAACAAACAAAAACAAAACAAAATAATTTAAACTTTCCTTTTTGGTAGACAGTTAACTAAATATTCTCTTTATTTAAATAGCAATGCAATTCCTGCGTAATTCAATTGAAATGGCTCAAGTTCCTGGTTCTGGTGGTACTTGCCGCTCAGGAAACCCGGCTGCGCCCGCTCAATAGTTTGCTCCCGGCCGGTGCAGGAGCCGCGGCCGGCCAATGTAATCCAACGGGATGAGTATGTACTTGCAAACGGCGCACGGCGATGATAAATATTAGCCTGGAATATTCGGCAAATACGCTAAATATTGTATGTATAAACAATACGAAACGAGAAAACCTAAAATACGAAACCAACGTTAACAAATAATTTAACTTTATATCAATTGAGTGACCTTTTATTGCTTAATATACTTCCATTGACCTATTTTACGGAATAGTGAACATATAATTGAATGATTTATGTATTAATTTAGATAATATTGCGATAAATAGCTAAAAGTTAATTTCTATGTTCACTTTTTTATACATACGGGTAGGTAAAAAAAAATATGATGCAATTTTGCACTAAATAACAAATTTACGTGCATAAAACGCTGTAAAACCTTGTCTAAAAACACTTAATTTACACAAATGACGAACGATTTTGAATATTATTTTGTGAGTTATTAGGTTTTTTAGGAATTAGGAAAGACACTTATCTTAGCGGATGACCTCGTCACTGCTCGATGTGAAACTTTAGCTGATTTACTGCTCGAATCTTCTTTGTTTTTCTGCTTTCCAATACAGCCCGTGATTTTAAAAATATCCACTGCAAGGCTCCATCCACAGGAATGATTTGATGTGATGTTGAAGATCGTTAGGTCGCTGCGCAAACCGGTGTCTCGTCGTATTTACGTATTAATTGTTATTATTTCGCGGATTCTTCTTTGTTCCCCTTATGGGCCACCATGTCCTATCTTTAGCGGATAAATGGTGTAAAATGCCCAGATGCTTAATAAATTAATATAATTCAAAAAGGATGTGAATTGCACAATGATCGTAAGTCAAGTGACATGAGTAGACAGATTTGTATGAAGAATCTTCAAGCGCTTGATGCGGGTGACGGCAATGTTCCCGCTTTGGTGTTTTGGCGTAATATTTGCGCAGGCGTTAAGTCCGAACACTCACTTATTCTATCGGTATAAAGTATCCCGCAGGCGACTAAGAGTGACCAGTCTGTAATTCTACGAATCTTACTGTCGTTATTATCCTCTTCTTGGGCTAAAACATTACCTCTACACTGAGACTAGTGAGATAAGTGATTTGGTTCTGATCGTTGTGTAGGTTCTTCTAGTGTAAGCAAAAAATATCGTGTTGCTGAGAGGCTGCCTTGTATTACATTGAGATGGATGGGAACTGCTGTTGGTTTGCATACTTTGGTGTTATCATGTAATTATGTACTTCACGTTACATCATTATGTGATTGTGCTGGGGACATATTACGGTTGGTCGAACTATATTTGCTCTATAATGAATGTGTTGTGCAGTACGCTATCTCATTCGCTTTCGCAATTAATCATTATCAGAAATAATGATTAATAACGTAAGCAAGAGAGCAAGTTGAACATCCGCTTTCACACTTTTACTATTTTAAACAATTAACCTTTATAGTAATTTTTAATAGGAGTAATATTATTTTTAGGGTTCCTTAGTTACACAACAAAGAACCCTTATAGTTTCAATACCGTCCGTCCGTCCATCCGTTCAAATCTGTAATTTGGCATAGTTATAGATATTAATCACACCTACAAAACTGTGAATAAAATCTCAAAAAATATTTTTATTTTGGGTACTTCCCATATAAGTAAATGGGGGATGATTTTTTTTACCCGTCTATTTCATCATGTGGGGTATCGTTGGATAGGTCTTTCAAAAACATTCGGGATGTGGAACTACATTTTTTCGATTCAGGGGTCCGCTTGCGAAATATTTAGCTTTAAATTTGTATTTTTTATTAGAGTCATGTGCCCAAACCGCATAAAAAGAACGCAAAAAAATAATTTTGGTCGTTTTTAACTATGTTGGGCGTGTTAATAAATTGGTATAGTTTCGACATGCTTATCCCATATCCGCCGGTCTTCTCATTTTTCGAAGTATTTTTAAATGGAAAAAAGTTCGCTACGCTGCTCCGATGTGCTTGTGCGGACTTCACATTTCCTAGAAATATTTTTTAATTTCTCTAAAATTTCCCACGATATTTTAATTCGCTGCCAAGAATGTGGCAAATAAACAAAACTGTATCGGTGTAACTATGTATAACTAAAGTGACCATACGTCCCGTTTTGTACGGAACTGTCCGTTTTCTCGGTCACCTGTCCCATTGTCCCCAAATAAAGCTCCGGGACACAAAATTGTCCCATAACTCGATGGATGGAAGTATTCAAAGTCTTTCGCACCAACAATCTTCAACTTATTTTTTTTTAATCGAATATATTTTATATCTACATGGTACAAATACTCCAGTAGAAAGAGTATTTTTCTAATTTTAATTTTAAATTTGAATAAATTGTGGACGTCTGAATAAAACACTTACGGTTCCAGTTATAAAGGCGATGTTGTTAACAAAGGTAACAATAAGAAAAACTTGCCCAGAATTTTATTCTTATTTAGAATCATCACCAACTTTATTAAAGCAAATTAGTTCCACTGACAAATGTAATAAATAATTTAAAAAAATATGTTGCATTTAATAATTACCGTCTATACCGAATATAATTTTATAGTGAACACTAATGGTATATTAAAAACTAAGAAAAAAAAAACTAGAAACTTAATTATCATATAGTCCTACTACCCGCGGTATCGTGCCAAGAACGCTGGCTGCATTTCCCCGCTAAATGGCTATACTTAGCCTTTGAGCGAGGAAAGAATCAACCCTCTTATCACCAGCAGCAACGACCAGCCGCGGATAGAGTTCCTTTAGGAACTTCACCGCCCGTGGACCCCACGGACCGATAGTCTCTACAGCAAATGGCACAAATATGTAGTCATCTCTCAAAGACTCATGTTTGCGCCACTTACTCAGTTCAGCTGCCTCTGATGCCGCCCCGGCTTTAAACGAGGTACCCCTGAGATGAGAGGCCGCCAGAGTGTCTACGCAAGTAGCATCCCACACTAGGGATTTACCTCTCTCCCAAGGGACCAATGTCATACCGTCGGGTCTCCTGCCATCGTCTCTAAATATTCCACAAGGCTCTAAAACCGAGGGAATATTTATAGAGGCAAGAGCCCTTCGGATGACATCCTTCAAAGAACTGTGTCGTGAAAACCTACCAGCGCTTTTCTTACATGAAATTCCGTGGAGCCCAAACTTTTTGACGCTGCTACCACAGGGGCACTGATGGGGTTGACAAATCGCCGCTCCTAGTAGGATTCCTACGGCAATGCGCAAATGCGCAAGCTTTCCCTATCAAGTAATGTGCCGAGATTACTTGATGGTAAAGCGTGTAACCAGTGACTAGATTCCTTAATCGAAACAGCTAGAAGGCGTGCCTTATCTTGGTCACTATGGAAATTATGAAACAAATCTTTCTGCACGCCCTGTACTAACGAAATAGCCCACTGTTTTTTGTTGGTTAACTTCCAGTGGAATATTTTCACCAGGACAGAGCGTTTTCCATGTCTGCCCTGCCTCCGTAGCAAAGCATAGGTCTACTTTATTATTTAAAATTATGTTGCATAAGTCACTGACACTATGCACGGAAGCAAGGAAAGCAGGCAATGCAACGCTAGAAAGATTTCTCACACCATTGCCACCAAATTTTATAGGTAAAGTAGCTTGAGTCCACACTGTTGTATTTAAAGTTAAATTTAGAATTTTTTCTATAGCTATTTTAAGATTATTATCAATATCTTGTAAAATATCCGAACATTTCCAGACTGGAATCGAGCGGAGTAAGTATGTAAATCTAGGTATAAGAAGACAATATTTTAAAATAGTAAGAGCTATGTGGGGGTTTAATTTATACAATTTATCAACGTGGTTTAAAAACTGATCAAATTTTGTTTTTAAAACAGGTTTAATACTATCGAAAAACAACGGGGCACCTAGCAGGTATAATGATTCCGTACTGACAGTTTTTATTCCTGGACAAATATGATTAAAATTTTGAATTAAAGTGTCTCTATGAGAAGTAGATAAATTATTGGAAACACATTTATTGCTATTTGGTTCAAGGCCAATATTTTTAAAATTTTGAAAAATATGAGTAAGATCGCTGAGGACGTCATCTGCTCTACCTCCCAGTGTACCGTCGTCTAGGTATCAGACATTCAGCTTGGATTTCAAATTTGAAATAATGCGTTGAATTCCCAAACTGAAAAGTGCTGGACCCAGAGGGTCACCCTGCTGAACACCGACAGCAGAATCGGTAACATGGTTTTCGTAAAACAAGTTAGTATTTTGACTATAACATTGTCAAAAGTAATAATAAATTTGGGGGTATTGTTAGCTACTTCTTTCAGCAAGGTTACCCTATCGATAGAGTTAAAAGCATTCCTTAGGTCAACCTTCACAAGAACATCTGCATCAGAGTTTGTTAAAAATGTACGCACTGAATGTACCGCCGCCTCACAGCCACCTCTAGTGCCAAAATCTAGTTGAGTAGGCTGAAATTTGGTCTTAAGGTTAGAGATTATGTACCTGCAAGCTAATTTTGAAGTTAAGCGTCGAAATGTGGAACCAACGGCTATAGGACGGATACCGTTATCCTTTTTTTTGAAGGTACATAATTTTGCCCCGTATAAGAATGGAATGAAATTTGGATTAACATTACCAGAAAGCATAAAATTACATAATTTTGTAATATCTTTAAGAAGTACTCCGCCGGCGTTACCGGCAGAAGCGCTTACAAGATCTTTAAGATGTTGAGGTGTAATTCCGTCAATTCCGCCAGCAGAACCATTCGAAAATGACATAATTGCTTCTACAGTGTCTTTTTCCGAAATTTGTAAAGGTTGCATAGAAGTCTTGGGAGGCAGCGGTAAACCCTGAGACGGTTTGACCGAAGGATGCTTTTGACGAAGGCTTTCAAGAGTTTCGACGTGACGAGGAGCCAGGATGTCGTCTGAGAATAAAATACGGGATGCATTTTTTAAGTCGCCATCCATTACTTTCGACTCAACTACTTTTTTTAAATCAAATTTAGGACGTGGTCGAGAAAAATGAGTATTAATTGGGTAATCTAAATTTAGAAAAGATGTCTCTTTTAGTTGAGACGTAATTGATTTATTTATTGTTTTATCAAAATGAAAATGAGAATACGCGAAAGTAAATAATTTTTGCCAACTATTTTTACTATTAGTGAAACAATTTTGAATAGTGCATGACAATCCTTTAGCAAGCTGCATCCTCGCACCTCTAGGAATTCTTTTAACCACTGGTACATTACGATAATAATTGAAAATTTGCTCCGAAAAAAGGGACAAATTTGTGTCATTAGAGGAATTGCTAATAAAGTTATGAATTTCTACGGCAGGCTGTGAAGCCGAAATACTTTTACTATGGCATCGTTTAATTTATATATTTAATCCCCTTTTACCTTTAAACAGCCTACCGTCAGCACAATTTTGAAACTGTCGGAAATCCGGCTGTGAATGTAGAGGAGCAGAGATATTCATTAAAAAATCTAAACAGATCACTACAACACTCAAAAGTCTTTATATTACATATTCATATTAACTTGAAATGTGCGGTACCCCGCATCTTTCCCTGAAACAATCATTTACGGCCTAAATAAAATCACTTCACTCTATAAATGAAATATTATTACATTACTTCCCTGGATTTATTCCATATTGATAAACATTGTATGTATAGTCGTTACGCTTTGACAGTTGTCAACGGCGCAGCAGAAATATTTTCCTTTATTAATTAGTATTATGTCTGAAATCAAAAAATTATTATTATAACAACTCTCTTATATATTTTCTGATCTTTTTGTTGAAATTTGTAAGCCAGAATTGACCTCCAAATAACAAAATAAAATAATATAAATATATGTAGCTTTTGACAGTGAAATATTTTGACATATGATAAGTTATAAAACTATAACTTTATACACTAATTGTATAAAGTTATACTTTTTAGAGTAATAAATAAACCCATGTCCCGTTATGTTTAACTGTATTTTTCAATTATTACAATTATGATAAAAATATTCCATAACCCATTACGGCTCTACTTCACAAGCACCTCTCCCACGGAATGCCACAAAGCACAATTCTGAGCTACCTGCATTCGTCGACTTCTATTACCAGGTCTTCATTTCATCTAGTGGCCGCTTGCCGGTACCGGTAGTCACTTACCGGTACGAGGCAGCCACTCGAAAATCTTACTTTCTCATTGGTTGTCGATTCTTTGAGCTATGTGACCAGCTCATTGCCACTTCAGCTTAATAATTTTTTGAGCTATGTTGGTTACTCTGATTCTTCTAATACTTAATTACTCGCTCACTCTTTGGAAAGATATCAACATCAATGGCGAGTACATTACTCACCTTTTAATTGCTGACGATAAAATTCTTATGGTAGAATCTCTCAAGCACTTTTGCCCAGCGACCTCAATACTGTTTCCCAACGCATAGTTTTCAAAATGAACATGGACAAATCAAGTCATGTGTAATGTCATTGGCACACCTATGCCAGTAGTTTTTGGGTATCATACACTACGAGTATATTTATCTAGGACAAATTGTTCGACTAGGTAAGTCCAACTTCGACCGAGAGGATTGAAATGTAATTTCTCTAAATCCGACTGCTACCATAAAATTTTCGGGTGGACCTACATACTGACATATTATCTACACATATTCAACAAGCTGAAGAGGTTATCCTCGAGTCGTGTATTGACCTTTGTTTGCTTTTTGATAACTAGATGTTTATTTGTAATATTTTGATAACTTGTGACCTAAATGTGACCTAAATGTTAGGCCTACAAAGTATCGAGGATCGACCGGAGGACACGGTGGAGCACACCGTGGAGGTTTGCCCTGCCTGGGCGGAGCACCGCCGTGTCCTCGTAGCGGCGATAGGCGGCGGCGACCTCTCGCGTCCGGCCCTGGTCGAAGCCATGGTCCGGAGCGAGACGGAATGGGATGCCGTCACCACCTTCTGCGAAGCAGTGATGCTAGCGAAGGAGGTGGCGGAGCGGGAGAAGGAGAGAGCAGCAGCTTTCCTTCCCGGCCGCCGCGGTAGACGCCCCGGGCGTTGGGGGCTACGTCGTGGCCCCCGGCCACCGTAGGCGCGGGCCTGTGGACGGCGAGCAATGGGTAGCTCGCCGTCCGTCCGTCTAACGACGACAAGCCGTGTTGACGGCGCGTTTTGTTCCACGCGCGCCTCAAAGAGCTGTCAGCAGAGTGAAGGGGCCCGCAAGGGCCGACGCCTGCCGGGGCTGCGGGCTGTTCGAAAGAGATACCGCGGCTCCGGAACGTAAGGGCGCTGAAGGAACACGGATGGTTTTTAGTCAGTAAAAGTCTAACACTCCCTTCCGCTCCACCCAGAGCGAAAGGCGTCATTTGATGATTTTCCATCCGCAAAAAAAAAAAAAAGGCCTACAAAGTATAAAACAATATGTTTATGTTTACATTGTTTTTGTACCCAGAATGATTTTTAATCATTATTATCAGTATAGAACTTTTTGAGTGGAGTATCACTATATTAAGAACCATTGAAAACAGTTTTGAAGTAAGGGGATATTTGATACTGCCATCGCAAACCCGTTTAGTAATAACAGCTTTATAATTGGTGAAACCACGTTGCAGCGTATGATGACTACAGTATGAATGGGTAGGCTCAACCTGGGAAGGAACACGCTTATACAGAACAATTGCGTGAAATAGCTGCTTGCATGTAATAATATATTATGTATTTTATTATTATATGTCACTTATATATTATATCTATGTATGATACATATTTTCTTCAGATTTTTACATAACTATCTGAAAAGTTTTTGTATATTATATTTATATCTTAGTATGTATGTGTGTATGTGCACCTGCCACAAAATCTCATCACTCCACGGGTTGAATGTCAGAGAATTCCGTTAACCATTAAGTCCGCCCTTTGTTACCCTTATTGTTAAGGTGTTAACAAACAAGATTAAATAAATAAATACTGCTGTTTTGCATGATGAGTGACGTGATTGGACAACATATGATTTTGTAACCAGGCACCAGGTACCCACCTTACTTCTCAAAGAGGACAACGCATCTACTTTTAGATTTTTAATGAGGATCATCATATTTATAATAATACTATGACTACATTAGAAGAGCAAAATATAAGGGATGTAATATATTATATTATATTAAGGAGTATTTTACTTTATTTATTTTTAAATAAAACTAATTTTACGTATTTTATTGCGTATATTAACTTATTTTACATTCCCGACGTTTCAAGCACTTTACAGCACCCATGGTCACGGGGGGACTGAGGTGTATGACGTCCCAATGTCATAGTTAACCACGGCTACCTCCAGATTAAAAATTATTAATTTTTGTTCCGATCTACGCAGTATGAACTTACAGTATCATGAAGTCTTGCAGTTTTATGCTTGGGTTGGGATTTAATTTTATTAATTATGGGATCCCAAGCAGATGGTAGCACCCAGCCATCTTCTCTATTGAAATTAGGCCACAAATCCTCGCTTAAGAACACCGATTCCTACGCATGTAGTCTCGCTGCCAAGTTGGTAAGCGTATTTGCCTCTCGACTCAAAACTAACTGCGGTTAGCCACCAGCAGACCGGTTTTCCTGTTTCTTGCCCCTCAAAAGTTGTTCAGTGATCTGAACAACTACATCGAAAAACAGGCTGACTACCCAGCCCCTACGTAGACGTCGCTATAGTATTCACATTTCTTAATTATGGTGTTAAAGTTCTATGGGATTTATGGGATGGGTACGTTAAAACGCAATCAAATGATTTACTGGAAATGGATAGTTTCATGGTCGAAGACGTATCGATTTTAAAAATTATGTGAAATATTTTAGCATTGAGATTCGTGGGTGTAAAAGAGAATGTAATTTTGGTTTTATTCATATTCTACTTTAGGCAAACCTATCTAGCTTCTCTTAAAATGAGTAATTATTATGTAATAACGAATGGGTCGGCTCGACCGGGAAAAGACCACGCTCTCACAGAATACCAGCCTAAAATGGCAGCTTGACACTGCTGTGTTTCGTATGGTGAGTGTAGAGAACCGGATTCCCATTTTACTGGAAAAGAGGCATTCCATCGTAGTCTTCACGGGTGACGACGCATCTGAATTTTGATTCTTTATTGAGAATAAATGTAGATGTCTATGGGTCACAGCAACCACTTACCATCAGGTGGACTGTGTACTCGTTTGTCACCCAATTCTATAATAAAAATTGAAGCATTCACTTACCATCAGGTGCACTTTGTGGTGGTTAGTCATTCTTACTTCTAAATAAAATTAGGTAAAACTAACATTAATTTGATCTTTCCTCTCTAGCTAGCTTATCAAACGTACATAATAAATTACATTCATAAACTCTTACTCCTATCATCCAGAGGGCTAGGCAGATACTATGGAGTTCCATTGCGCACACCAAAAGGAATTCCATAGTATCACAATATTGACACCTTCTTCACATTTATATACAAACAGATTTATAATATGTTTAGCATTAATGCTTATATTAACTAAGGATATAAAACAAAGTCTCGAAGTAAGTCACTTTCAATACAGGGTATACTTAGTATATTAAGACGTAATTTCATCTTAATATCACTGCAGATCCGCATGCAAAACATACGGAGAGTTAGTTTAAAAGGGAAGGTGACATTAGCACTGCTAAAGAGAAAATAGCCCTCGAATATAAAACACAGAATAAATGTTAAACTCAGTTGTGTATTGAAATGAACTGGAAAGATGAACGTTGAATTTGAAGACTTCGAGACTATAAAAAGGTGGCAAACATATTGTTGCTTTCTTGTTTTGACCACCTCCACGTAGTGAAGAGGAGTCGCCTACCGAATTGAGAATATCATTTAAATTACTACTTAACGCAAATTACCCATAGCTATGACAACATTAAAATTAATTTATTAAAATTAAAAAATAGGAGCAGAGCAATCAGATTGCCGGTCAAACACGAGCTCGGTTTAGCGAATTTTTGAACTAAGAAATTTAATGAAAATCCATTGTGTTAGGAAGAGTCACGAAATGGTATCAATAACTTTTTTATTTTCTGTTCTTGTAAAAAAAAAAACGACGGGTTGCACTCCGGGAATGCCGGCAGAAGTGAAAACTTGAATATTAACGTTGTGCATTTTTGATATTTTGGAATGGCGGAGATTATTTATTATTATCTTATTTCATTTATTTTCATTCGAAATTATTTGTTTGGTAAACCTACACCGCACATGTGCTTATTGTGATGTTATGAAAATATAGGTTGTTAATGCTATAAAGTATAAACATATTACAAATATTACATCTATAATGTGTAAAGACATATGTATCTATATTAATAATTTCGTCAAGCAGTACAGTAGACTCGATCGAAACCTAATCTTAATAAAAAAATTATATTAATTAATAAATGAAAATTAATTAAACCTAACCTAACCTGAATAATACTACTACGCCGCGCCGGCTGTCTACTCTCCGTCCGTCTTACGAATTTTCAATCAGGACACGTGACCTGACGCGAGTTTAACATTTTTTACCCATTACAAAAAAAGTTCACAACGCCGCTAAAGAAGTTTTCACTTCAAAGAAAAAACAAATGAATCGTGAAAAAATGTAGAGCAAGCCATGTCACATCAATCAATCTGAATATTCTATGAGTAAGTGAGCGCAGACGTGGCGCCACCTAGCTTCTAATTTAGTAGTGTGTTGGTATTAACTTGTTTTATTTCTTAGTATGTAATTTTAAGATTTTATGATTTTTACTAAGCATTGTTATTAACAAATGGTAAATAACATATAAAGTATTATTATAGGAAACTGAATTACAGATCGGATAATATTACAACTACCGCGACTTTATAAATACTAAATTATCTATAGATTATAGATATATTTTAACAATAATATGTAAAACATCATATAAGGCTGATAATATTCAAGTAAAAATTATTTAAGAATAGAATTTATAAAATATTTGTAATTATTACTTTAATTTTAGAGACTGCACACTGTTTTCGGAGCGGGGGATTAGTTCCGGTATAATATATTATAAATTTACTATGTGGCATTATTGTTTCGGAACTAAACTTAACAACTAAAATATAATTATTGGAAAAAGAGAAGATACTCGGCATTTCACGCATAGGGGCAGCGCGGTGGACATTTCCTAAAACAAAAACATTTCCAGAAATTAGAGGAGGCATGTGCCCAGCAGTGGGACGTATATAGGCTGTGACTTTAACTTTTAACTTTAACATATTTGCTAGGCACTCCACTGAAACCGCTATATTTGCTTAATTTCTTAAATTATTTTGAAAATAACTATTTTTAATGTTTTTTATTCCCTATAATTCTACATAACTAATAAGAAATGAGAATGATCCTCATTGAGGGTAGATGTATGTATATATTATGAACTATTAACATGCACTAAACATCACACTCGCGTCTATAAAAAAAATTATAGAGTACAGTTATTCTTTGAATTCTTGCCATGATACATCAGACACATTCTAAATCACATTTCGGATTTTCTTTCTAAAACTCGTATTTAGCTGTACAACTAAAAAATATAATATTTTCAAAACTAGTTATGTAGGTTATACTACTTGTCATTAAATAACCATAGCTCAATAATATTATTGCCTTCTGCTATGAATATGAATCAAATCAATAAATACTATAGAGCGTAAAAAAAATCGTTTGTTCCTGGCGTAAAAGAAACCATCACCCAATTTCTTCTCATGGAAGTCATGAAAGGCGATTATGGAAAAAGCCGAAATAAAACTTATGGCTTCCGATAGATGGCGGAACCATTTCATCAGCGTCCAAGGTGTAAATGGTCTGGTGCAAAAAAAATAGCGACTGACAATCTGCTTGACAAGTCACACACAATTGCCACCAATTAAATCAAATGCTGGGAGACCCATTTCTCCATTTATAACAGTGAACTTGTGATGGGCCGTATTGATGTAGTGAGTGAAACCTACTAATAAATGAAGTATGCTACGAAGCAAAACAACGGTAAATATAGAAACGATAAACACGGTAAGCATAAAGAGTAAAGTTTCATGAAAGCAGTAATTTAGTATAATTGTAAATAAACACGGGATTGGATTTAAAAATTACTGGAGAGATAATTCTAGCAATTAATAACTAAAACCCTATCATCTTTTTTTTTATTTTTGCTTTAAACTTTCCTTCTCGGAATGAGATGGAAGCGGGCGTTTGTATCTCGTAGAGCGAAAGAGCTTGGTTCAAAGTATTTTGGTCTGTAAGCGCGTTTTTTTAATGTATAATATCTTAAGAGCCACGATAGTCCAACTTTCACTTGAAGCCGGGCAAATCTTGCACCTAAAACACAAAACAAATCCTGATAAATATTTCTTTAAAATATTTCTGATTACGCAACGAGTTATTATTAACACTATGAATTTGGAGAATAGATTTATTAAAGTATTAAGCTATACGTAAAATGCCTTTTTATAAGTCAAATGGTAGAGTCATGCTATAGCTATAGCTGCATAATATATTATGGCTGCAGCACGGGTCGGCTCGTCCGTGGAAAGACCACGCTTTCACAGAATACCAGCGTGAAATAGCAGCTTAATGGTTCTGTGTTTCTTATGGTGAGTGCAGAGAACCGGAGACCATTTGACTGGTAACGAGGCATATAATTCTAGTCCTCAGGGGTAAAAAATTTTGATTCCTAATTGATGATAGATGTAGATATCTGTAGGCCACAGCATCCACTTAACATCATGTAGACTGTGTTTTTTTTTATAGGACAAGGGTGACACACGAGCACACAGTTCACCTGATGGTAAGTGGTTTCTGCGGCCCATAGACATTTACATTTATCCTCGATTGTGAATCAAAATGCAGATGCGTTGTCACCCGTGAGGATTAAGATGGAATGCCTATTTTCCAGTAAAAAGGGTATCTGGTTCTCTACACTCACCATACGAAACACAGCAGCATTAAGCTGCTATTTTACGCTGGTATTCTGTGAGAGCGTGGTCCTTCCCCGGTCGAGCCGACCCATTCGTGCTACAACTATACTACTAATATAGAGCTGCAGCATGGCTCTACCACGTGTAAAAGCGAAATGTTTGAAATTTGGCGAAATTATTATTTTTATGATCTTGAGTTCAACTGAGAACGAATTTTACGAAATTTCACTCACGAAGGGGATTGCGAGGGCGTTATAATAAAAGTAAAAAATATATTAATTATAGTTCGGGCTATAATGAATAATAAAATTAAACTGTAGGATTCTATACGGGTTCAAAATTTAGTCTCTGTATATAAAAATCAATTACTGTGTGAGTCCCTGGAATGTTTAAACTCACAATTGGACCCGGTAAGTGGCGCTAATGTTGAAATTCAGAAACCACCCGTGTGGAGCCGGGGCGGATCGCTTGTCATTAATATATGAGCGTATATAGCGTATATACAATATATATAATATATATATATATATAAGCGTATAGCGTATATATAAGAATACCTATGAGGCAAGGGACGCTTGTAGTAACATCGAAGTGAATAAACACGTTATATCAAATCATTAAAGTAAGCGAAAGATGTTAATAAATATCAATTATAGTTTCTTACCCAGACAACTTCGATTTCCTTCTCCAAATGGTAGGTAACTAAATTTTGGAATTTTAGACATATTTTCTGGAGAAAATCTCTCTGGATCAAATAACTCGGGATTTGGGTAATATCTTTCATCTCTGTGTATTGCATAAACGGGGATTACCACTGTGACGTCTTTTTCAATTTTCACTTGTCCAATAGGTAGTGTGGTATCTTTTGTGCATCTTCTTTGAATAATACCAACTGTTGGATATTTTCGACTAGCTTCATTCATAACCATATCAAGGTACTTCATATTTTCTATGTCATCAAAAGAAATTTGATCGACACTTTTCTCAAAAACGTTGTCTATTTCATCATGCAACCATTGTAAAATATCAAGATTTCCTGCTAACTCCAACAGAACGAAATGCATAGTATATGCCGATACATCAGCTCCAGCGATAAAGAAAAAGAATGCTTGTGCCGCCATCAGTTCATCAGATGGTTCTAATTCATAACCTGTTACTAAATCTTTCATTAATCCTTCCTCTTGTAATTCTATACAGGTTTTATTATTATATTATATTAATGAATTATATTTTTTATATTACATTTATTATAATCTGTGTCGATACTCGTATTTCGAGCAGACAACGTTCGACTGCTGACTGTTATGAACTTATACTGATACGTGAAACGCATTAATAAATAAATAAATTAACCACTTAAATAATAACTAATAACAACGTATTAAGTTATAGATAATAAACGTGTTGTTTATTATTATTGTCATGCTAATTAATTTACTTAGTTAATTAGCATGACAAGACTTAGCATGATGTTTTAAATGTAATAAAAATCCTCAGTTATATATATTTTGCGACGATTGAAAGAGAATTGGAGTGTAAGAAGAAATATGTTTTCTTATATAAGTCTTTTATATTGATAAATCATCTCCATCATTCCATCACCTATCGGTGAACACAGACTGTGACGCTGCTTGCTTTTGCATAATACGCATCGCGTTGTTACTCGAGTCACTTTAGAGGGCTATGTAGGTTACTATATAAACCAGACCGCAGAAAACTGTTCTAGCTTTACATGGCCACCAGTGAAAGAATAATAAAGAAGATAAAAAAATGTGATGTTCGCCAAGACGTACAAAACCCTCTCAGAAATGAGGGGAGGCCTGTGCCCAGCAGTGGAACGTATGTAGACTTTAACTTTAACAGCGAAGGAACATATCACGGCTACATAGATCATTACTGGCAATGTTCACACTTTTCGTGGCAAGATGAGAAACATATGTCCATCATCATTATAATTACAGCCCTTCACAAGCCTCCACCAAGTAATACCACAAACACGGTCCTTAGCAACCTGCATCCATCAACTTCTTGCATGTCGTACCAGGTCATCACTCTATCTAGTGGGGGACCGCCTTACACTTCACCTACCGGTAAAAGACTGCCACTCGTGAATCTATCTTCCCCATCAGTTGTTGGTTCTTCCAGCTCAGATAGCAATGTATTTTACGGGCTAACAAATAAAGAAAGGCATAAAATTTTGCTGTAACGACAGCAGTGTAGCTTGTATTTATCTATTGTATAACCCCACTTTTTTATTTTATCTGTTTGGAGCTGGGAGAAATTATTTTGGTTTAGTCGGTTTCAAAAGGTATTATATTAAAAATTATAGTTTTTTTACCCGTAATACAATTTGAAGTATCTAAGTCATCAGGGAAGTATTTTTTAAAGAAGTCCATAATTTGTACTGAACGGTCAAATAAACAAAGAGACAAACATATATGAAAGCGCTTTAATAAAATGCGACACAAAGAGCAGACTTAATGCCTTTTGAGTAATGTGTTTGAGTTGTGTGTGTGTGTGTGTGTGTGTGTGTGTGTGTGTATGTGTGTGCGTGCGTGCGTGCGTGCGTGCGTGCGTGCGTGCGTGCGTGCGGGCGTGCGTGCGTGCGTGCGTGCGTGCGTGCGAGCGTGCGTGCGTGCGTGCGTGCGTGCATGCGTGCGTGCGTGCGTGCGTGCGTGCGTGCGTGTGTGCGTGCGTGCGTGCGTGCGTGCGTGCGTGCGTGCGTGCGTGCGTGCGTGCGTGCGTGCGTGCGTTCGAGCGTGCGTGCGTGCGTGCGTGCGTGCGTGCGTGTGCGTGTGTGTGTGTGTGTGTGTGTGTGTGTGTGTGTGTGTGTGTGTGTGTGTGTGTGTGTGTGTAACATACCATAATACTCGTATTAGCAAAGTAGTGGCGGCAGTGATAATCTTATATATTATAATATTATCCTGTGAGTTTCATAAGAGAACACAGAGTGAAATGAGGTAGGATTTTCTTACTAACAACATTTCAAAATAATAATAAACTGCGGCTGCCAACCCGCCAAGTGTGGCAACTATGTCAAGTATCCCCCTATAAGGCAGTCTATGTGAGACCTATGTTGAGCAATGGAATTTTGATTGGCTGTAATTAATCATTATTCCATGTCTTTCTGTAGTGGTTTCATATTGACGGCTCCGTGGCGCAGTGGCTTAGCAATGAGTTCCAGCGCTTGTAGCTGCGGGTTCGAATCCCACACGGAGCAAGTATTTGTATGGCCTACAAATAATTATTCCGGGTCTGGATGTTTGTCCTTGTGCAATTTATGTTTGTAAACTGCCTCCACGATACAGGAGACAATCCTAGTGTGGGGGTAACGTTTTCATAAAGAAAGAAAGAAATATTGTCACCCTTAATTATTTAAAAACACTATAGAAGTACGTACATTAAACTCGTGTCTTTTTATTTTAATAACGGAAAGCCAATAAATACTACTACAATAAATACTACAGATCCGACGTCAGCGGATGTAATCTGCAGGATTCGTATTGAACTCGACTTTCTATTCCCAAACGCAATTTGATAGGCTGGAAACAAAAACAGAAATCTTGCAGCTGGCAGAAGTCCAATTTCAGCCGCGAGGCTAAAGTAATATTTCTATTTTGCATACTCAATATGTTGAACTTTCCATGCGGTTTATCACAGGCGATTATAGCTGACTAACCTTCGACCTCATTGATATGTATTATCATTGGTTGACGATAACGAGAGAGTTGTATATTAGCATCTATTTAAATAGGTGGTAAGACTCCTTTTGTGGCTAGGAGTCTGTCTGGGTTAAGTACCTATTTTAGCCGCCAAAGAGCAATATGAGCAGTGCGGAGTTCCGGACTGAAGAGTACTCTATACTATTAGAGAACAGGTTCAGTTACAGGCTGTGTGACATTCCATATTAGTCCTCAGAGATGACAACGCATCTGTAGTGTCCTCGTTTGAAGTTGATTGCAGGTGGTTATGGACTGCTGTAGCCGCTTTCCATCAGTTTGAATGTAAGGTTGTTCGTCACCTCAACTATTTTAAATGTACGTTTGTTTCAATAGTTTACGAAATATGATTCTGTGGTCGTAAGTCGTAACAGACAAATTTGAAAAGCCAGAAGACAATTCGGATTTCTATGTAGTGTAAGAACAAATTTTAAAGTTTAGTTTCCTTCCAATGATAAACATTATATTGTTCTTTTCCTACTAACTTTGTTTTGCAAAACAGTGTCATAATTGCAATTTTATATAAAAATTATTATAAAAATTTAATAAATATATATATAAAATTTGATACAGTTAAAAAACTTAATGTATGTACACAAAAAACAAAAAACGATTTATTATAAATAGTTATAAACATTCTGCCAATACTAAGAACAAGCACAACTTTACATGTTTTTACATGTAGCACTACTATATATTTATATATCATGGGGCAATGTACACGCTTTTACAACAAAGTCCCAGAAAATATGCAGGATATATTTTTAATTATTTACCAAGCAAAAATTGTTCGATGAGGAATATATAATAACGAATTACACTACAAAGAGTACATGATTGATAATGAAGTGTTTAATATTTGTTGGTACTACATTTTAAATGCCACAAAGCTTTGTGGGAGGCTCCCCTTGGGGGAGGCCTGTGTTCAGCAGTGAACTTGTGAAGGGCTGTAATGAAAAACATATTAATACATATATACATGTATTAAACGCATATAAAACAAAGTCTCGCTAGATTTATTGATGGCTCTTCCCAGGACAGAGGTTTTTAGGAACCAGTGGTAAAAGCATTTTTGGCTCTCAATAAGTATTCATGTAATCTATTCTATTCTATTCTATGATTCAAAGATTTTATGCCACGAATGTTATCTATTAAAAATGTTTTTACAGCAATAAGGGCGATATCACTTAATGCCATTTAGAAAAATCATGAAAAAATCTAGGGTCGTAATAGAACCAGTAACGTGTGAATCCACCTATTAATTCTTCATAAGTGTGCGTACAGATTAAGTAACATGTTGAATAACTTTTGTTTTATAACACTACCACATTATGTAACATTGTTTTTCAACATTGTAACAAATAACAATACTGTACACATTAGAATAACAATACAATATAACAATGTTATATGACATTGTCGTATGACATTGTCGTTTGTCGTTAACCAGCGCGACGCCTCCGTCGCATCTCGAGTTATATAACTTTCGTTTTTTAACATTCAGCCTCCACATTACTAAAACATGTTATATACTACATGTTTTATAACATGTTATGTTATATAATGTGTACGCACCGTAATAATGTGGACGTGTTTTAAAACACAAGTTATACAACATGTTACTTAATCTGTACGCACCCTTACTGGCTACTTTGGAAAATACGATAAATACAATAATTGTCAAACACATTAAATATAATTATACTTCACATTAGAATAACGTTTTAATGTTCTCGACAGTAATTTCTAGATGATGGTCGTTATCATTATACGTTCAGTAATTGTTTTATTCTATTTATTTGAAAGTAGATTATGCTGTGATAATTTTCCAATTATGAATAACAGTATAGTACCTACAGCTACATTGAAAATATCTCAAGAAAATATATAGTAAATAATACCATTGAATTATAGTTTGTTACGATAAGGTGGGCTTTAAAACGCTGTAATTCTAAACTTAAAAAAAAAGCGATATGGTATAGTAACTCTACAGCTCTATTACGGCTTTAATTTAAATGTGGCGGTCAAATCAGGAAAGAACAGCATGAAGTAAACCAGACAGAACAGAACCACCTTTTAGAAGGGAGCATTCCACCTTAGTCCTCACGGGTTACACCCGTATGTTGTCATCTTTCATATGCAATTAATCGAAGATAGAAGTGGATGTCTATGCGACGCAGAACTACATACCATTAGAAGGACTGTGTACTCGCTTATAACCCTTGTTTAATAAAGAATAGACATCACGGGTGACAGGCAACTGCATTAATATTCCTAGTAAATTATATATGAAGGACGGAGGTGTATATAGTCCACAGTATCCACTTATCATCAGTGTGAATTTGTGATCGTTTGTCACTCTGCCAGTATTTTATAATATCAGGAAACGGGCGATTCCGCAGGTATCTGAAAAACAAAAATAAACTTTGAACTTTAATATTTCCACTAAG